CACCATCTTGTACATATGTCATAAGCAGGGCGACCTCAGGTCTGCACCTGCCCTCAGCCAAGCAGAAAAACCTGACTCTGGGTGTGTGTGTGTGTGTGTGTGTGTGTGTGTGAAATAACAGGAGATTAGGACCTAGTGAATGTGTGGTGCTAATGAACTGAGACTGTGAAAAAAGAGATGGTGGGTGAGAGAACTCACAGAATTCACATGAGTACTCTCCAGAGATGCTACAATTCGGTAACCTTGGCAACCCAGTGGGAGACTGCAGGAGAATTTGAGCCCACACTGAGGGCACAACAGATTCCCTGTGCGGTCCTTGGGAAAGAGCTTCGGATCTCTGGCTCCTGTGGGTCTATCATTCACCTGCTAACTACTTTCAATTCCATTCAGCTGTGTGGAATTCCCTTTTGAATCAAAAAAAGAAAGAAAGAATGAAAGAGATAGGGATTTACCACGCCCAACCTGGGAATGTCACCTTTGGCACACCCTTAACCCTGAGGAACCAAACAGAGCTCTCAGGCCACACCCATCTCAAGCCTCTAAGGCTCCATCAAAAACAGTCCACTTAATACAGTCATAGTACAACAAGAAAAAAACACCACAGCAAGGGAAGAAGAATACAAAGATATCTCCACAATGCCAAGCAACAAACGCAAAAATCGAGGAAACAAGAACAAGGAAGACATCCTGACACCCCCAAATGAACAAGACACCCCAAGCCAAGATTATGAAAATGATGAGATGGAAGAAATGCAAGATATGGATTTCAAAAAATTTATGATAACAACAATTAGAAGTTTTCAAAAACAAATGCTTGACGTACAGAATTCCTTACTGGACAGGATCGAAAATCTCTTTCAAGAAAATGAAACCTTAAGGAGGAATCAAAATGAAATGAAGAAACTAGTAAACAGGAAAGTGAAGAGAAATCAAAATGAAATGAAGCACTCAATAGATCAAATGACAAATACATTACAGAGCCTTAAAAACAGAGTCAGTGAAACAGAAGAGAGAATATCGGACTTAGAAGACAGAGAACAGGAAAGGATACAGTCAGACCAAAGAAAAGAAGAGGAAATTAGAAATCTAAAAAATATTGTCGGGAATCTACAGGATACTATTTAAAAAAAACAGCATTTGGGATCTAGGAGCTCCTGAAGGCATGGAGAGAGAGAAAGGATTAGAAGGCCTTTTTAGTGAGATACTTGCAGAGAACTTCCTGGGTTTGGAGAAGGACAGAGACATCCTAGTACAGGAAGCTCATAGAACCCCTAGTAAACATGATCAAAGGAGATTCTCATGACGACACGTTGTAATCAAACTCACCACAGTGAAACATAAAGAAAAGATTCTAAAATGTGCAAGAGAGAAATGTGAGATTACTCTCAGAGGATCTCCAATTAGACTCATAGCAGACTTCTCATCAGAAACCCTACAGGTTAGGACGGAATGGCAAGACAAAGCACAGGTACTAAGAGAGAAAAACTGCCATCCCAGAATATTATATCCTGAAAAGCTCTCATTTGTGAATGAAGGTGAAATAAAGACCTTTCAAAAGGAACAGAAATTGAAAGAATTTGTCTCCACTCATCCAGCCCTACAAACGATGCTTGAAGATGTGTTGCACACAGAAACACAGAAACACGGTCATCAATATGAAAGAAGGTAAAGGAAGGAAACCTCACAGCAAAAGATCACAGGGAATTCAAAGCATATATTAGAACTTATCTTTGGCAAATGGCAGGGCAAAGTTACCACTTATCATTAGTCACATTGAACGTTAATGGCCTGAACTGTCCAGTTAAAAGACCCAGATTGGCTGATTGGGTTAAAGAACAAAACCTATCTATTTGCTGCTTACAAGAAACACATCCGTCCAACAAAGATGCATACAGACTGAATGTGAAAGGCTGGAAAAAGATATACCATGCCAACAGAAATGATTAAAGAGCAGACATAGCCATCATAATATCGAACAACATAAACTTTAACACAAACACTGTTAAGAGAGACAAAGAGTGGCACTATATAATGATTAAGGGATCAATTCAACAGGAAGATATAACAATTATCAATGTATATGCACCTAATTACAGGACACCGGTTTATTTAAAAGAAATGTTAAGGGACTTAAAGGGAGACTTATACTCCAATACAATAGTACTGGGAGACTTCAATACTCCGCTCTCAGAAATAGACAGATCAACCGGACAGAAAATCAACAAGGAGACAGTAGATTTAAACAACACTCTAGCCTAAATGTATCTAACAGATATCTATAGAACTTTTCATCCTACACATAAAGCATTTACATTCTTCTCAGCAGTACAGGGAACCTTCTCTAGGATTGACCACATACAAGGCCATAAAGCAAGTCTCAGCAGATTTAAAAGAATTAGAATCATACCATGCAGCTTCTCAGGCCATAAAGGAATGAAGTTTGAAATTAGCAACTCAGGAATCCCTAGAGCATATGCAAACACATGGAGATTGAACAACATGCTCCTGAATGAACAATGGGTCATAGAAGAAATCAAAAGAGAAATCAAAAATTTTCTGGAAGTAAATGTGGATAACAGCACAACATCCCAAAACTTATGGGATACGGCAAAAGCAGTGTTAAGAGGAAAGTTTATAACAATAGGTGCCTACATTAAGAAATTGGAAAGGCACCAAATAAAAGAGCTTTCAATTCATCTCAAGGATCTAGAAAATCTGCAGCAAACCAGACCCAAATCTAGTAGAAGAGAAATCATTTAAATCAGAGAAGAAATCAACAGGATTTAATCAAAAAAAAAAAAGCATTTAAAAAATCAGCCAAATGAGGAACTGGTTTTTTGAAAAAATAAACAAAATTGACACCCCATTGGCCCAACTAACTAAAAAAAGAAAAGACCCAAATCAATAAAATCAGAGATGAAAAAGGAAACATAACAACAGACACCACAGAAATAAAAAGAATCATCAGAAATTACTACAAGGACTTGTATGCCAGCAAACAGGGAAACCTATCAGAAATGGATAGATTCCTGGACACATGCAACCTACCTAAATTGAACCAGGAAGACATCGAAAACCTAAACAGATCCGTAACTGAGACATATATTGAAACAGTAATAAAGGCCCTCCCAACAAAGAAAAGCCCAGGACCAGATGGATTCACTGCTGAATTCTACCAGACATTTAAAGAAGAACTAACTCCAATTCTTCGCAAACTATTCAGAACAATCGAAAAAGAGGGAATCCTCCCAAATTCTCTTTATGAAGCGAGCATCACCTTAATTTCTAAGCCAGAAAAAGATGCAGCATTGTAAGAGAATTACAGACCAATATCCCTGATGAACACAGATGCAAAAATCCTCAATAAAATTCTCGGCAATAGAATGCAACAACACATCAGAAAGATCATCCACCCAAACCAAGTGGGATTTATCCCTGGTATGCAGGGATGGTTCAATGTTTGCAAAACAATCAATATGATACACCACATTAACAGACTGCAGAAGAAAAACCATATGATTATCTCAATAGATGCAGAGAAAGCATTTGATAAAATACAACACACTTTCATGATGAAAACTCTAAGCAAACTGGGTATGGAAGGAACATTCCTCAATACAATCAAAGCAATTTATGAAAAACCCACGGCCAACATCGTAATGAATGGGGAAAATTTGGAAGCATTTCCACTGAGATCTGGTACCACACAAGGATGCCCACTCTCACCACTACTATTCAATATAGTTCTCGAAGTTTTAGCCAGAGCTATTAGACAAGAAAAGAAATTAAAGGGATACAAATTGGGAAGGAAGAACTCAAACTATCCCTCTTCGCAGATGATATGATTCTTTATTTAGGGGATGCATAGAATTTTACTAAGAGACTATTGGAACTCATAGAAGAGTTTGACAAAGTGGCAGGATATAAAATCAATGCACAAAAATCAACAATGTTTGTATAAACAGGTAATGCCACGGCTGAGAAAGAACTTCTAAGATCAATCCCATTCACAATAGCTAGAAAAACAATCAAATAAATACCTTGGAATAAACTTAACCAAGGTTGATAAAGATCTCTACGATGAAAATTACAAAACTTTAAAGAAAGAAATAGAAGAGGATACCAAGAAATGGAAAAATCTTCCATGCTCATGGATTGGAAGAATCAATATCATCAAAATGTCCATTCTCCCAAAAGCAATTTACAGATCCAATGCAATACCAATCAAGATACCAAAGACCTTCTTCTCAGATCTGGAAAAAATGCTGCTGAAATTTATATGGAGACACAGGAGACCTTGAATAGCTAAAGCAATCTTGTACAACAAAAACAAAGCTGGAGGCATCACAATACCAGATTTCAGGACATACTATAGGGCAGTTGTAATCAAAACAGCATGGTACTGGTACAGAAACAGATGGATAGACCAATGGAACAGAATTGAAACACCAGAAATCAATTCAAACATGTACAGCCAACTTATACTTGATCAAGGATCCAAAACCAATCCCTGGGGTAAGGACAGTCTATTCAATAAATGGTGCTGGGGAAATTGGATTTCCACGTGCAGAATCATGAAGCAAGACCCCTACCTTACACCTTACACAAAAATTCACTCAACATGGATTAAAGACTTAAATCTATGACCTGACATGATCAAATTACTAGAGAGCATTGGAGAAACCCTGCAAGATATAGGTACTGGCAAAGACTTCCAAGAAAAGACCCTGGAGGCGCAGGCAGTCAAAGCCAAAATTAACATTTGGGATTGCATCAAATTGAGAAGTTTCTGTATTGCAAAAGAAACAGTCAGGCGAGTGAAGAGGCAACCGACAGAATGGGAAAAAATATTTCCAAACTACACAACAGATAAAGGGTTGATAACCAGAATCTACAAAGAAATCAAAAAACTCCACAACATAGGATGTCATCTGCTATCAAGATAAAGAAATGTCATAAATGTAATGTTAAATTTTTTCTGCCTCTTTGCCACATCTACTGCGAGAATGAAGACCATTCTCAGCAATCAGACGGTCGACATCCCAAAAAATGTCAACATCAGTCTGAAGGGGCGCACAGTCATTGTGAAGGGGCCCAGAGGAACCCTGCGGAGGGACTTCAATCACATCAATGTGGAACTCAGTCTCCTGGGAAAGAAAAAGAAGAGGCTCTGGGTTGACAAATGGTGGGGAAATAGAAAGAAACTGGCAACTGTTCGCACGATCTGTAGTCACATACAGAATATGATCAAGGGGGTTACACTGGGCTTCCGTTACAAGATGAGGTCAGTATATGCTCACTTCCCCATCAACGTGGTTATTCAAGAGAATGGGTCTCTTGTTGAAATTAGAAATTTCTTGGGTGAAAAGTACATCCAAAGGGTTCGGATGAGGCCAGCTGCTTTGATTCAGCAGGCAACAACAGCTAAAAATAAAGATATCAGAAAATTTTTGGATGGTATCTATGTCTCTGAAAAAGGAACAGTTCAACAGGCTGATGAATAAGACCTAAAAGTTATCCGGCTGCAGAAACAAGAACCCAGATTGTGTCTTGTGGTATTTTAATAATGCAATAAAAGATTATTGATTTAAAAAAATTTTTTTTTCTGCCTTAATTGATTAATAAGTGAAATCAGAACATATGCAAAATCTTACTTCCTAAGTTCCTTCTATATATTTAAAGTTTTCATAAATGTAAATGTTTATTTAAGAAATGTTTTATCACTTGTAGCACTACTTTTTATTTAAAATAATATTTGAAGGATGAAAACAATATTAATAGACATTAATAAAATATAACACTTAAAAACCATTACTTTTCAAATTGTCACAGATGATAAATAATATGTCCAGAGACATCACAAGTTAAGGAAATAAAATGTAATAAAAATTTCATATTAATTTTTATATCAAGAAATTAAAATTAAATGACTAAAATTGTAATTTTTTTTGAGTTTAGTATATTATGGTCACCCTTTTTGAAATATTGATTATACTTATAATGTAGCAATATTATATATTATGTATGATTCTATATACATGGTGTTTTAAAGTCACTTTTTTTACACTTTCTCTTTTAGAACCATGAGATATATATGTGAAAAGCAATTCCATGCTAATGTAACAACAAGGTAACAAATCTACACATATATGTCAGAACAGAAAAGTTACAGTTCTCATGGTAACATTACATCTTCAACATTATACAGTCTGCACAACAATATATATATTTAGAAACCTAACTAGTAATTTAAAATACCACATGTTATATATATTAAATTGGTATAAGTTAACATCCCTGGGAGAACCTTAACTTTTCCAGCTTTGTATTAGTATGACTTAATTTAATATATTTTACTATCAGAAGGTTCTAATCTACAGATATAGCTTGGACTTCTTGGTCCTTCCTCTCTGTTCATAGATTCTCTACAAATCGAGTTCAAGGATCTAGAAATGCATTGAGATGATGATAGGTTTTTTACATTATATTATTAGCCTAGCATTTTTCTAAGATAATGTTCTACTATTACCATATTTTATGATAATACGCTTACATCTGATAGAAAAACAAATTAGATGGGAACCCATACCATTAGAGCATCCAGATGCAAGGCTTCTATTCCTGAATTCTAAGTAAAATATTTATGAACTTATTTAAATAATAATGAGGTAGAATCCACAAAGTGTCATCGTTTAAGAATTGTGCTACATATGTAATACTAGAGGGACTCATCAGTACAGAAGACCTAGGTTTCCAGCTGGGAACCAGAATTCATGTCACACAGTTCCAACCAGGTTATTCAACAACAGGAATTCATTGAAACAGACCCATCTAGCTTTTGTTTTATAGAACTGTTTGTTGCACAAAACATTTTGGTGTGCCACTTTACCTACAAATGTATATAAAAACATCCATATATATATATATTATATCATTTAAATTTCTGTACTTAAATGGCTTTTAAAAATCTAATATTAAAATTAATTTATGATGCCCTTTGTAGCATTACAGGTAGTTTATTCAGAAGTTCTCTCTCAAATAAATCTGCATATGTAATCTAAATTGAATCTATAGAAAAGGTTTACATTTCAAATATTTTTGAATTAGAAATGCTTTCATTTTGGGTTTCTAAATATATTTCAGAGTTTCCAAAGAAATGCATTAAGTTGGAGATAATAAAAGTCATATTTCATTTTTCAAAGAAATTAAGGTGGAAACTCTTAGCTATTTGTTTTCTGGCCAACTTCAGTTATCTAGGAATAAATTCTCTGACCATTTTTTCTTTTTATTTTCTTCTTTTCTATTCTGAATGTGAAGGGCAAAAAGGTGATTGATATTCATTCTTTTTGATACAGTGAAAAGGATATGATTGAATAAAGCCATAAAGCAAGATATTCTTTTATCATTTGCTTTTGTTTCACTATTGGAAATACTCAAATAATCAAGAATACATTTTAGGTAATGTTGTCTTTTCACATTTTACATTTTATTTGAAAATTAAATTGTATAATCTGATAGAATGTTGAATAAATAGGAAACAAAATAAAAACTGTGCCCCTCTATGTTAAAAAACATCAGAGAAATAAACACCTCAGTATCTGTGACAATTATAAGTTACTGAAAAGCCAATTTGTGTTAAAGAAAAAACAAACAAAAACAAAACTAAAAAGTAGCATTTGTAAAATTTTCAGTAGCTACATAACTTAGTAAATGCTGCTATATGGAAATATTTGCTGTTAATGTAATTATATTTGTAAATTCGGCACAGTGCTCTGTACATGAGCTGATACATTATGAAAAACGATGTGCTTGGAATGCTCTTCAGAAACATGGTAGAGTGAGCTTCCGGTGCCACAGCTTAACTCTCTGCTTGGGATGGCCACATCCTGTACCGGAGCTCTTGCTTTGAGTACCAGTCACTCTGCTACCAGTCCAGCTTCCAGGCAATGCCTACCCTGCAAGGCAGCACATGATGGCTCAAGTACTTGGTCCCTGCCACCCCTGTGGGAGAAGAGGATGGGATTCCTAGCTCTTGACTTCAGCCTCTCCCAGCCTTGGGTGTTGAGAGCTTTGGGTTTATACGATAATTTAGAAATTCGACTCTTTCTTAAAGTGTTCTTTATCTCTTGATCATAAAAAAAAATAGAATTTAGAGAGGAGGACACTGAAAGCCTGCATCCATTATCAGTATGCCTGGGTTTGTGTACTAGTTCCACTTCCTGTTCCAGCTTCCTGCTAATGTGCACCCTGGGTAGCAGTAGCTGGTGCCTCAAGTAATTGGGTTCTTACCACTCACGTGAGACCTGTACTGAATTCCAGTTATGGAATTGGGTTATGGTTTGGCCTGACCCAACTTTGGCTATTATAGGTATTTACGCAGTGAATCAACAGGTGGAGAATGTCTCTGTCTCTCTGCCATTAAAATAAAAATAAGTAAAAAAAAAACAGTAATTTTGAAGGGTCTTCTTTTTAAAAGGAATCTTTACATTGTAATAAAGATACATTCTAATGATGCTCATACTTTTTAGTATGTTATCAGATCTATCAGGCTGTTAAATATGACTTCAACAATCACACTGCTACCTGAATTTTCAGAAGAGCAAACACATCTCTACATCTCTTTGGATAGGAAAAGAAAACAGGATGTGTCTATATGTGCAGTGCCACACCCAGATATTGAGAAAACATCCAAAATGCTGACATTGCTTAAGAAACATATATAGAATGTAGGAAATTTGTGGACAGCAGAATTTTGTTCAAGGAATTGATATAAATTTTACCTCGGACTGTCCAAAGGTATTTTAGTATTCTTTGAGATGAAATTTTAACAGCATATCCTGCTTTGGACAAGAACTTGAGTTATCAGTTTAAGGTGTTTGTTTATCTTCTATTGCTGCTTATCAAAGAAATTACCAACAATATAGCAGCTTAAAACAATAGCTGTTGACTAACTCATCCTCTGCTCAGGTTCTCACAAGACAAAAATCCAGGGGCTTGACCTACTGTATTCTTATCTCAAACTCAGGAACCCCCTTCTGGGGCTGGCATTGTGGCATAGCAGGTAAAGCCACAGCCTGTGATGCCAGCACCACATATGGTCACTGGTCTGGGTCCCAGCTGTTCCACTTTCCATCAAGTGCCTTGCTAATGTGCCTGGGAAAGCAGAAGAGGATGGCCCAAGTGCTTGCGCCCCTGCACCCGAATGGGAGACCTGGAGGAAGCTCCTGGCTCCTGGCTCACATTCAGGTGCTTTTCATACAGTTTCCTACATTCTCAAGCCAGAGTTGGAGTCAGGACCTAAATCAGCACTCTGACATGGGATGCACATATTGCAAGTGGTAGCTTAACCCACTGTACCACCATGCCCCCATCAACACCATCAGAGCTCACCTGATAACTGAAGATTATCTCCTTTAAAGTCAGTGATGCCATTTAAAGTAATGTAATTACATTGTGGGAGTTGCTATCCCATCTTCTTTGCAGTTCATGTTCATAGGCAAGGAGGGGTGATTTTACAGAGCATATAGATCAGGCAGTGGGAATCTTGGGGTTATTGCTTTAAATCTGCTTGTCACTGTTAGGTTAATATATTCCAAATACCTTAAATAGCTACTTAAAATTATGCAAGCTATTATCATCTATTGTTGTTAAAAATATTTTCTCACAATGAGCTTTTTCTAAACATGGTAGGAAATTTAATGCTTAGAAGTATTTCTGACTCTAAAGAAAAATATATTGTTTTAGAAATAATGACTAAAAATGTAATATCTTTGCTTATTTCTAACTTTAATTTCTGAAGATTTCAATTTGAAATATTGAAATATTTTTGACAGAATTTTCAATATTGTTATAATGCTTTATCACTTAAAAGGTTTTTGTAACTGTATTCATTTTTTACTGTTTATTAGGTCTAAACTCATTACCTTATTTTTTCCCTAGTTCTTTATATGCAAATGAGGATTCTGAACTGTATATTATCATTGTATACACAAACTGTATGTATAATAGTATTTATGTTAAAATCATAAGACATTTGTGTTGTTATTCAAATACGAATCTTATTGTGATATGGCACAATATATATCTTCTCTGAATAATTATTCTGACACATTTCCTCACCCCACCTCTATCATCAAGAGCATAATTTTTTGTTCCAATTAAAATGTAAATTTCATTGGTAACAGAGTAGAGAAAATCCACTTTGAAGTAATGGACTACCAATGGGCAAAATATGTCAAGCAGTATAATTTCCAAATCATGATTACAAAATTGTATTATTGAAGTATAGGGACAAGTAGAAAACAATCTCTTTAAGATGTGTGGGAATTATAATTGTAAATGTTAATTGTCCCCAAACTGATTTCAGAATTTATACATGTAACACTGGAATATTTAGGAGAATTGATAGTATAATATTGACATTTACATATTTGGTTGTTAACAAAGAGAATACAGACATATCTTGACAGATCTGATGTGGTATAATTTAAGATAAGGACAGCGATGCAAAACAGAAGGGAATTGTCTGTCTTCTGTAGTCTCACTGGAACATTGTTTAAAATCATATCTGTTTTTGCCAACTGCCAATTCTGTGTC